TAGCGACACTAAAGATTTTAGCGTTTCTTTTTGTTTTTATTTTTTTATTTATTATTTTTTATAATATTAGTTTCAAGCGAAACTGTTCCAAACGCTTTGTTGAATTTTTTCTTAATTCGCCTACCTACCGTTTACCAGTTTCCTTACACTTATGTATGGATATAAGTTAAGTTTTGCTTTATTGAGTTAAGAAATGTAACTGAACATAGTATCTTAAAAATACCATAAACTACTAACGGCAGAGTTTTGCGGATGTTGAATGGTCAGCAGAATTTACAATATATTGAAGTGGAKGATTGWTTGTTTTAATTATTATTTATTGAACAGCAATAAAGTCGATCGATTCTGGTAGTTGCTGCGAATGTTTCTTTTAACAAATTTCCCTCCTCAAATTCCTACTTGCCCTCAAGTAGCTTTAAAAGTTGTAAAAATGTTATTAAATTGTGGTTGTACAGATCTAAGAAAATTTTTTCGAATTTGTAGGATTAGGTTTTCCTTTGGTTTTATACAGAATTTTTGTACTACAACTATTGCTATAATAATGGCCGATAGAAAAATTATAGTTAATGTGGTTTACCAAAGAGCACTTCAATGAAACGGATAATTTGCGGACACGTATAACCCTTCGATTCAGTATTTACTTTGGATTCACATTCATTTACTTAGAGAAGTTCAACTAAATAACACTTCATTTTTGTAATCGAAATGAATTCATTACTGTTGTGAAATCTACTATGTAAAAGTAAGTCGGGTTTTCCTTCCTGACGGTATAACTCCAGAACGCCCAAACCGATTTTTAAGGTTTTGCATTTGCTGGAAAGGTCTCGTTCTCCGTGAGGTTTATAGCAAAGAAAATTCAGGAATAATTTCAACAGAAAAGCGGGAAAATCTATTTTACATACAGCGCCATCTCTGATACWTAACATATACTACAAACCAATATTTTAAGTAGATGGCACCGGTGTTATTCATTCAGATGGTGATGTTCAGAATATTGGACATCTGACGATTCTCCCACCATCTTATATCGGAAGCCCACGCCACATGCACGAATACGCTCAAGAAGCTATGACGTACATGCGAAATTACGGAACTCCGGATTTATTTATTACCTTCACATGTAATCCGACGTGGACGGAAATTGAACGTGAGTTGGAACAAGGCCAAAACCCGAAAGATCGGCATGACATAATCGCCAGAGTATTTCAGCAAAAAATTTACGGTTATGATGGATGTGCTTACTAAGTATCGAGTTCTTGGTGATACACGTTGTTATATGTACGAAACACAGAAGCGTTGACTACCGCATGCTCATATCCTAATTTGGTTACTGAACAAATTGCATTCAAATRAAGTGAATGGCATCATGTCAGCTGAAAATCCTTATCCAGTCACTGATCCCCATCTACACGACATTGTAACGACACAGATGATGCATCGACCCTGCGGTGCTTTAAATCCATTATCGCCTTGCATGGCTGATGGAAAGTGCACAAAACGATATCCGCAACCGTTAGTTGCTGAAACACTCACAGGGAACGATGGATATCCAGTTTATCGTCGGCGTTCAAAAGAATTAAGAGACTGAGATCGGAAATGATTTCATTGTACCATATTGTCTGCTGCTATCGCGAATATTCAAAACACATGCAAATGTTGAGTTGTTATTGAGAGATTGCCAAACCAATCAGATATAATATTTGTGAAAGTATGTGACAAAGCCGACATGGCTGTGTTTGGTTTTGCGTCGGAAAATGCGAATGACAAAATCAACAACTTCCAAATGGGCAGATAGGTCTGTACTAATGAAGCACTGTGGCGATTATTGTCGTTTCAAATTCATGAAAGATATCCCACAGTTGTACATTTAGCAGTGGATTTAGAAAATGGCCAAAGAGTTTACTTCACTGAGGCTAATGCGCCACAACGAGCTGAGAGACCACCATCGGCAAAATTTACTAGCTTCTTTGCAATGTGTGAAGCAGATCCATTCGCAGCGACGCTGATGTACGTTGAAATGCCCAAGTATTACACTTGGAATCAACCGACAAAGAAATTCCAACGTCGCAAACAAGGAACCCCAGTTCYTGGTTGGCCACAGGTGTTCTCCACCGATGCACTACGTCGCTTGTATACTGTTTATTTGTGATTGCTGTTGGTAAATGTACATGGACCAAAATAATTTTCGCATTTGAAAACTGTGAATGGCCACCAATGCCAAACATATCGAGAAGTATGTCAACTATTGGGTTTGCTGGAGAACGATTATCATTGGGATTTAACACTTGCGGACTAAGTTGTTTCATCAAATACCAAATACGAACGCTGTTCGCAATTATCATCACCACATGTTTTCCTTCACAACCAATTCAGTTATGGAACAAATACAAAGACGACATATGTGAAGATACTTGCATCGCTCGCGCATTCAAACAAATAATCCTGACATTCAAACCGATGAAATCTACAATGAAGGATAAATTCTGATTGAGGAACAATGCTTGACTATTGCAAATAAGCTACTGATTGAAGTAGGAAGGATTGCGCCATATCGATCGATGCACGATGCATTCAACAAAGAATTAAATCGAGAGCTGCAATACAATGTTGATACATTGCAGGAATTCGTTCGAAATAATGTGCCGTTGCTGAATGAACAGCAAACACAAGTATAGGAGACATTAATGCAGTGCAATAATACCGGTGGTCTATTCTTCCTGGACGCACCTGGAGGAACAGGAAAACATTTGTCATTTCATTGAATCGATCAAGATGTGACAGCTTTATCGTTAGCATCCTCTGGAATTGCGGTGATTCCTCTAGATGGCGGTCGTACTGCACATTCTGCGCTTAAGTAGCCACTCAATTTAAACACAATTGATACTCCAACATGCAATATTTGCCGATCGAGTGCAATGGGAATATTGTAGATGCAATGCAAGCTCATTATTTGGGATTAGTGCAGAATGAGACACATAAAAAATCACTGTAAGCACTTAACTTCACACAGAAGGATCTTCGGCAAATAACAACATTTTCGGCAGCTTGATGATATTGTTGGGGGACGATTTCTGGCAGGCGTTGCCAATAATTTCCGGTGAAGGCCTGCAGATGAATTGAATGCTTGCCTTAAGGGCATCACATTTATGCAATAACACAAAAGGGAGAGTTCAACTTCAAAATGATCAAAGTGCTGCACAATTTTCCAAACAATTGTTAGCTGTTGGAAATAAAAAAGTCCTTGTTGATACGACATCTGGATTAATTACTCTTACCAACAACTTTTGCCAATTTGTTAGCTCTTATTGAAAATGTTTTCCCAAGCATKAGTGAGAATTATCAGAATTATGCTTGGTTAAGGCAACGAGCAATTCGTGCTACAAAGAATAATGATCTACACGCACTGAATTTCACCATTCAATCAAAAATTGCTGGCGATTTGGTGACATACAAGTCCGTTGATTCCACAACAAATCCCGATGATGTAGTACATTATCCAATGGAGTTTTTCAACTCAAAGTTGGTACAGTTATTATGATATTGCGAAATTTGAATCCATCGCGACTTTGCAACAGTACTCGACTTTCGGTAAAGAGACTTATGCCGAATTTGAAATGAAAATGTATGTATACCTTCAATACCAATGATTCCGACTGATCTACCGTTTGACTTCAAACGTTTGCAATTTTCAGTTCGCCGTGAGRTCGCAATGACAATTGACAAGTCGCAAGGCCAATCGCTTAGTGTTCGCGCGATAAATTTAGAAAATTATTGTTTTTCACATGGGCATTTATACGTTGCGTGTTCACGAGTTGGGAAACCATCTGATTTCTTTGTGTTGTGTTTGGATAATTTGCCGACACGTAGAATGCTTCGATTCAGTATTTACTTTGGATTCCCTTTCATTTACTTAGAGAAGTTCAATTAAATTCAACTGAATTCATTACTGTTGTGAAATGAAATATAATTTTCTTTTTAAAACTGGTTTATATCTGAGTGCAGAACCTGAAAATGTTGAACATAGTATGTAATATTATATATGTGAAGCGCAATCAATAAGATACTCAATTTCGAGTTTTTTGATGATATGTTATTTTGAATTTCAGGTGACGATATGTATGTTGTAATATGGTAAGTAAGCGGGATAGGTATTTAATGTAATTATAGTATCTGTTTATATATTTTCCATTTCAGCATACACGCTGCACGTTTCTTTCTTTTTATTCTTTTTTTTTTAATTTTTAGCACAATCTTTTTGGCACGTACATATGTACATATAGTATATAATTTTGTAATAGGTAATAGGTTTTTTCATAGGTAATTTTCTTTTTTATTAAAAAGAGGATAAGTACAATAATAGCGGGATTTTGTGACGAGTCCCTAGTCTCTATTTGAGACATTTTCAGGTAAAATCTCAATTTGTAACTAGTTRCTATTCACTAAACAGTCTCTAGCTTTAGTCTCAAAATATTGCCTCAAATTTGAGACCTGGTAGATAGCAGGTCACAAAACCAAAAAGAACTCTTGTCTGCCATTTTGAATATACTTAATAGAGATCACCATAGATATTAATCGATTGTCGTTTTTTTTATATTTTGTAAGCAACTCAARCACGAAAAGGTTAAAAATAAATAAATTTTACATAAATTTCGTTAATATTATGAAACAAAGTCAATACATATTTTTATTTTTATTGATAATTATCTTTTTATTATTATATGTTATAGAAAACTTAATATTATCGACATATTTATTTTCATACAAGTATAAAAACCTCTTTGAATAATGAAATGTAATAGATTTTGTAACTGTCACTTAAAGAATAGCAAAATCGTCTCAAGTCTCAAAATTGTCCTAACTTAAAATCTTAAATTTAGAGACTTGATACTGTATCACAGTACAGAATCGAACCGTAAGTTTCAACTTTCGTTAAGAAATAATAAAGTAAACACAAATGTATACACGCAGCCAAATAGTCGATGCCCAAATAGAAGCAACGTTTTCATTCATGAACGCAAGRACAATATCATCACATCTCCCCGAACATGCCTTCGCAAACAAGGGTCTTCTCACGACGATGGCAAAAGCTAAAAATCATGAATTGAATAATTTCTGACGTTCTTCTAGAAGGGAAAAGTGTCAACCCAGCAAAGAACAGAAAAAATGGTTGGCTGACTTCCTAAACGTGCAATGCAACACTGCAAAGAAATTCATTTACAGTGCAAAGCAATATTGCATGGCATTACTGCTTTGTCAGATAAATTGTTGGCATTTTACTGCATTTATGGACGAGCAAAAGATTGGTACCATCACTAACATTAACATATTCGACAACAAAGTTTTTTTAAATGAATGTGCAGGAATATTGCTGTATTCTTTTGAAAACAGCCTTGGAATAAATAAACAATAAAAAAAAGCCGTCGTTTTGGATTATTAGCTAGCGAAAATTCACGGAGAAGAATTCCAAAAACCAAAAAATTTTATAAGGTTATCGAAAGCATGGAAGACGATGTATTTCATTCTCATTTTCGAATGAAGGAAAGTATATTTCAGGTATTTATTATAAAATACGTAGAGTATTGAGTATTGATAAAACTAATACCCCAACTGTAAAGAAGTTGCAGATTGCGATTAAGCCTTGGCGGAATTCAAGTGAAACTGGACGTAGAGCAATAACGTTGGAAAAAGCTTTACAAATAACAATTTGAAAGCTAAGCAATAATTGTTCTTACAGAGATGTCAGCAATCGGTTTGGTGTGGCAGCTGGCCTCGCATATAAGGTGTTTCTGAAAATAATTAAAATGATTGCCGCTTGAAGGGAGATGTAATCAAATCTCCCAAAACTGCAGCGGAAAAAAAACAAGTAAATGAAGAATTTACAAACCTGCGGTATAATCTTTTTAATTTTGTAATTGCATGCATCGACGGAACTCTTATTCCAATTTCGAAGCCAATCAAAGATGAAATCAGCTATCGCAACCGAAAGGCAACGTATTCAATCATTACACAGATGAAAAATTTACTTTTTTGCATGATAATAATTACTAACTGGAAATATTTTCTTCAGGCTATTGTAGATAGTCCAGGTGCATGCCACTACGCATCAGTTTGGCAAAGGAGCTCTGTCAGGAAAGCTATGATTAGCAAGGAGATTAAAATCTGTTCYAATTACCATTTGTTGGGCGATGGAGGATATCCATTAGAATTGTTCCTTATGGTGCCGTATCAGGATAACGGGTTCTTAACTCCAATGCAGTCAAAATACAATGCGATTCTGTCTTCAACCCGCGTTGTWGAGGAACAGGCATTTGGTGTTTAAAAAAAAAATTTAGAATACTCAAATACATCGAAGTTCGGCCTCCATATTTGCCAAAATTAATTACAATGGCATGCATGATTGTTCATAACATAACAATTGAAAATGAAGGCTACTTAGTCGATGAAATAGATGAAGAAAGTGAGCCCCAAATAGTCGAAGATACGACTACATCGGGACAAAGGGAGGCAAAAGCAAAAAGGGTTGTACTGGCCACGCTATTGTCTGCCTAATTGAAAACAGTTTGGACTTTAGAGTTATAGTTGTTTTTTAAACTTTATTAAACCCCAATAAAGAAAAAATAAAAATGAAGTAACAGTCAGTTCATTTTGCACTTGCAGGAAAAAAACAATTCATTTTGCACTTAAAATTTAATATGAAAAATTCATTCAAAATTAAACGTAAAACATACTTGAATTCTGAGATTTGTCGAGTATTTTCTGGAACAGTGTACGAATTTCTTTCAAATCGACCAATTTTCCTATTTCCACTGGTAGCTTCTCTGCCTCCATGTCCAGCAATTTCTTCATAACTTTGACTTGACACGACTTGAAAAAGATTTCCCTACTGTAACTAAAATTAATTTTTACAACTGGCATCATCAGCATTAACAGTGCTATTACATATACATTGGTGTGAACAATATAAAAGCAACAATATGGTATTATGAAGTTTTAAAATTTGCTGTTTTCTTATTAAATAACTTTCTTTATTTTTTTAGAAACACGTATATCTTGTATAATTTTTTTCAATTGTGATTAGAATTTACCACCATACAAAGGTAAATAAAAACAAATATTAATGCGAAATTCTCTTTTTGTTCACACAACATTACAATTCCGATATGTAGTAAATTTCTGCTCTTTAATTTGTGCAATGCCAGTATTGAAACAACCATTCTGCCAGGGATAAAGGGATGTTCGACTTATTCCAGTGTGAGAGCGCTTTTTTATAACATTTTCCATTATGACCAGATGGGACATTTAGTACGAAAAAAAATTACTCTATAGTGGTTATTTAATATATGGAGAATCTATTTAAATCGTATGTTAAAACAACTGACTTTTGATCTTTCAATACTAAATAAAAGGATTTATGCTTTTTAGCTCTCAATCAATAAATGTTTTCAATAATTTTCCATCGGAAATAATAATATGATGGATTACAAAACGTTTCATACATCTAAATTTCACAAATTTATATATTTTTTGGAAAGATTCATCGCTCGTTTCCAATKGCTAAACGTCCAAACCTCCTGAACTTTGACAGCGGATCGAGTTCGTGAGGTTTTGACGTTTAGCAATTGCTCTCTCACTTCCAATGAGAGATAATTTGGGAATCTCTTTATTTCTGGTTTTGCGTTGAACATCAAGTTTCGAAAGAATTTCATTGATTTTTTCGCAACTTTTTATGCCCTTCCTTCAGTAAACTGATATTACCTTCAATGGGCTAGGCATTGCTAACTTTGCGGGCTAAAAATTTTCCCATCCCTGTCATACTTAAACCAA